TTCTATGAAGAGAACAAAGTTGGAATGCCTTAGGTCATGATGTTCTATCACCAGGGTAACATTTCAGTAGGCTGATCCAAACCAGTGGACTTCAAACAGGCTTTGGGTTGCTGTGCATTAAAGGTAATTTATAATAACATACCTGTAGAAGCAATAGTATATTTTCTATATATACAGTTGATTCTTGTTATTGTAGTAGTTATATTCTGTAAAGAGGCCTCAAACATTGAATTAGCAAAAAGCCCCGGCGCCTAGGGGAAATACAGGGTTAGGTTCTTGTGAGCCTCTGGTCATAACATTTTTGTCACAATGATATGTAACTTTATTTTATGTATCTATTTCTGTAGAGGCACGTTATTATTATTATTATTTTTTAATTTTTATTTATTAATTTATGATAGTCACAGAGAGCGAGCGAGAGAGAGGCAGAGACACAGGCAGAGGGAGAAGCAGGCTCCATGCACCAGGAGCCTGACGTGGGATTCGATCCCGGGTCTCCAGGATCGCGCCCTGGGCCAAAGGCAGGCGCCAAACCGCTGTGCCACCCAGGGATCCCCATTATTTTTTAAAATTTATTTATTCATAAGAGACACATAGAGAGAGGCAGAGACATAGGCAGAGGGAGAAGTAGACTCTCTGCAGGGAGCTTGATGTTGGACTGGATCCTGGACCCCAGGATCAGGCCCTGTGCCAAAGGCAGATGCTCAACCACTGATCCACCCAGGTGTCCCTAGAGGCACATTATTTAATATTTACTGTTGATTCATTAACATTGAATTCCCAGGGATGCCTAGGTGCGGCAGCAGTTGAATGGCTACCTTTGCCCTGGGCGTGATCCTGGGGTCCCAGGATAGAGTCCCACATGGGGCTCCCTGCAGGAAGCCTGCTTCTCCCTCTCTGTCTCTGTCTCTCTCTCTCTCTCTCTGTGTCTTATTCATGAGAGACACAGAGAGAGGCAGAGACACAGGCAGAGGGAGAAGCAGGCTCCACTCAGGGAGCCCGACAAGGGACTCGATCCTGGGTCTCCAGGATCATGCCCTGGGCTGAAGGCAGGCACTAACCACTGAGAAACCAGGGCTACCCTAAATAAAATCTTTAAAAAACAATTGAACTCACAACTTAAAGCAGTATAACATAACTCAACCCTGAAGAAAGCTTATATAAGGCATGTAAGGCACAATGCAGCAGCCTTGCTGCTTAGGAGCACTAGAAAGCCCTTTAGCGCTGTACTTGGGGGGCATCCTAAGAAAAAGACACTAAATAGATCAGGAAAAAGACACTTGTTTATAGTATGAGGGCTAGAGCAAGAAGGCAAAGTGTCCCTTTGTTTGACCTTAGCTGGGAATATGCACATCAAGGAGACTCAAATTTTTGCAGTTATGTGCATTTCTGGGAATGATGATGAAAACGCCACGTGTATTGATTTTGAGATAACAAATTTTTATGAGTAGGCAAATTTGCAAATATGAAATCCATTAATAATAAGGATGTTCTCGACATATATGCTTAATATTTTTATTTATTTATTTATTTATTTATTTATTTATTTATTTATTTATAAGATTTAATTTATTTATTCATGAGAGATACAGAGAGAGAGAGGCAGAGACACAGGCAGAGGGAGAAGCAGGCTCCATGCATGGAGCCTGATGTGAGACTCCATCCCAGGTCTCCAGGATCACGCCCTGGGCTGAAGGCGGCGCTAAACCGCTGAGCCACTGGAGCTACCTTCAAAGTCCTTTATTTTGTTGTTGTTGTTGTTGTTGTCGTTTTTAAGATTTTATTTTATTTTTAGGTAGTCTCTACACCCAACATGGGGCTTGAATTCATAACCCTGAGATCAAGAGTCGTGTGTTCCATCAACTGACACAGCCAGGGGCCACTCAAATCCCTTTAAAAAGCCATAGGTTAGGGACATCTGAGTGGCTCAGCAGTTGGGTGTCTGCCTTTGGCTCAGGGCGTGATCCGGGATTCCCATGGCCTAGTGCCACACTGGGCGGGTTTCCTGCATGGAGCCTGCTTCTCCTTCTGCCTGTGTCTCTACCTCTCCCTCTGTCTCTCGTGAATAAATAAATAAAATCTTAAAAAAACAAAGCCATAGGTTATGCGCATTACTTATCTTCATTTAAAAAACCGTAAAACTGGGTGAATTAACCAGAAATCATCCTGTTGTTATGTCATACACAGAGTCATAGACACGCGACTTCTACACTAACACAGGGACCCCATGCTCAAAAGGGACCCTGCACTTGGCTTAATGCTCTGCTATTGCCATCTTGAAATTTTATTTTTTTTAAAGATTTTATTTCTATTTATTTGAGAGAGTAGAAGAGAAAGAGAGAGAGAGATAGCAAGAGAGAACATAAGCAGTGGAAGAGGTAGCTCAGACTCCCCCTGAGCAGAGATCCTGATGTGGGGCTCCATCCCAGGACCTGGGGATCCTGAGCCAAAGGCAGACGTGTCACAGACTGTCACCCAGGTGCCCCTAAGTGTGGATTAAAAAAAATCTTGGGCACCTGGGTGGCTCAGTGGTTGAGTGCCTGCCCTTGGCTCAGGTCATGGTCCCTGGGGTCCTGAGATCGAGTCCCATGTTGGGCTCCCCGCAGGGAACCTGCTTCTCCCTCTACCTATGTCTCTGCCTCTTCACTTTGTGTCCCTCATGAATAAATAAATAAAATCTTTTTTTTTTTTAAGATTTTATTTACTCATGGGGGAGACAGGCAGAGGTTGGCAGGGGCATGCATGCCCCTGAGGAATCTGATATGGGACTGGATCCCAGGACCCTGGGATCACGACCTGAGCCAAAGGCAGATGCTCAACCACTGAGCCACCCAGGTGCCCCTAAATAAATAAAATCTTAAAATAAAAAATCTTGACTGCTATTCTTTGAGCTTCTTGAGTTTATGGAATAGTATCATTTATCAATTCTGGATATTTCTCAAACATCTTTTTAAATCTTGTCTCTGCTTCATTTTTGTCCTCTGAATTTCCCATTTCATGTAGGTGTGACCTCACTGTGTCCTCCACAAATTTAACTTTTTCATACTTTTTGTCTTTTTTGTCCTTCTGTGCTGCATTCAGGATAATTACCTCTGATTTATCCCCTAGTCCTTTAATTATCTCTTCATCTGAATCCACATCTGCTGCTAAACCTACATTTAAATATTATTGAATAACTTTTTCATTTCTAGAAGTTCTCTTTGGCTTCTTGTTTCTTTTTTTTTTTTTTTTTTTTTTTTGGGGGGTGGCTTCTTGTTTCTTGAAGATAGCTGCAAACTGTTTTCTCGTTTCTTTAAGTGTAGTATGTTAAAAAAATAAAAATAAAAAAAATAAGTGTAGTATGTGTCTTTGTTCTATAATTCATACCAGGCTTCTCACGTAGTAGATTTCATGGTTTTGTTGCTGCTGTTCTCACTTTACGATGCCTCATCTACCTTTGTGCTTGATTGATTATCGTTGGCTATGTGCTATTTGTTACCTTCGAAAAAGTACTGCTGGGAATTCCCAGAAGCCTACGATGGAGTTCTTCCAGAAAAGAGTTGAGTTTCCTTCTGTCAGTCACTTACTTGGGTGTCATCCTAGTCTGGAACCCCTTCAGCTAAATTCTTGCCACCACCCTTGCTTCTCAGCTTGGTGTTTCTTGCACCATTCTTGTTTTTCAGCTTGACATTTCTTGTAACTGCTCTAGTTGTGAATTTGGCTGGAAATACATGTGAGAGTCAGGAAGCACTTAAAACTTTTCATGGAGGGATTTTCCCCCAGAGCTGTGCTTAGTGCTAAAGCAACATTCTTCCGGCAAGTTGGTGATGGAATGTGAATTTCTTTCTTATCCATACTCACCCTGAGGGCGTAACCTTTTGGAGGCCAACTTAATATGGAAAAGGTTGCTTTAGGCTCTCCACTGGTGCATAGCTTTGGGCTTTGATTTTTCTGTCCCTTGTAGGGTAGGCTAGCAGAATGACTTCTCTAACCTCCAGGATCAGAAAATGTCCTCAGGCAAGCACAGATTGTGTCTACCTCTCTATGTCCTCGTTCTTGCTTTCTTTCATTTTGGACTTGATATTTTCTAACTCTCTTATCATTTCATGAACAAACTTAAAAATTTCCCCAGAATTTTTAGTAGTTTTCACTGGGAGCTATGTCTGAATGAATAATCTAGTCCACCATAGTCACTTAAAAGAAAGCTCTGTTCATCTATATAAAATGTTAATGTGAGATTGTTTTTAAAGATTCTATTCATTTATTCATGAGAGACACAGAGAGAGAGGCAGAGACACAGGCAGAGGGAGAAGCAGGCTCCATGCAGGGAGCCCAATATGGGAGCCGATCCCGGGACTCCAGGATCACACCCTGGGCTGAAGGTGACACTAAACCACTGAGCCACCCAGGCATCTCCTACCTGATGCTTTCCTGCATTTTCTTAATTTTCTACATGAATATATATTATTTTAGAATGAAAAGAAACAATGAGAGTCCCTAAAATCAAGAATGAATACACTGTATTAGTTTCAAAGACAAAATATATATATATATATTTTTACAAAATATATTCTTTTTTTTTTTTAATTTTTATTTATTTATGATAGTCACACACAGAGAGAGAGAGGCAGAGACACAGGCAGAGGGAGAAGCAGGCTCCATGCACCGGGAGCCCGACGTGGGATTCGATCCCGGGTCTCCAGGATCACGCCCTGGGCCAAAGGCAGGCGCCAAACGCCTGCGCCACCCAGGGATCCCTACAAAATATATTCTTATTCAAATCTTCTTTTTCTGATCTTTATTTCCTGAAGAAACATCAAAATACAAAAAGAGCTTTGGAAACAATGATAAAAATGGAATGAGATGTGGGGTGAGGGGCACAGTAGTGGTGGTGGCATTTTACAGGAGGGGAAAGAGGAGTGGACTATAATACTGATGTCAAGGTTAAGCAGCCACTGATGGTACTTTGTCATTTGTTTGCAGGACAGCAGGAATCATTTGATGATTCCTTTGCCAGCACAATGACTTCTACAAACAGGACCAGTGAAATAATTGAAAAGCTTAAAGCAAGCAGACAATGTCTCCTGGAGGAAATAAATGAAAAGCGTGAATCCAACTGCTTTGTGGAAAGAAGCAATCAAGTCAGCTCACTGAGAGTTCAAAAGAGGCATTTCAGCACCGCCTATCAGTCCTCTACTCACACTCAAATTAAAGAATCTGTTCCTGACAGTGGCAGGAGCTCCTGGATTAAACGGAGTCTCCTTGCTCACCCAGAGAAAAAGCACTTTCCTGCAAAAAGTAAGTTGTTATAGTAGGATTCCCACCCAATTGACAGGAGGTATTTATAAGTAAACTTGAGGAGAGTTTCTGGGGTTGAGAGAGTTTCGGTAAGTATCACTCTGGGATAGTTTAAAGGAAATCTGTCTGAAGTAAAAAGCATCAATCAATGAGGTTAGGTGATGTAAGATCTACAATAGACCAGATTCTCAGTTTCTTATGCTTAGAGAATCCCAAGCTTCACTTCCAGGCTGACTCATTCAGTAGGCTCTCCTTTAGGTCCCAGAATCTGCATTTTCAGCAGACTAAGGAGAGCCTGAGAACCATCATTTGAGAAAAGTTGATATAGATCCTTATAATAGACAAAAAAAAAAAAAAACAACCTCCAGAGACTTCCTATCTCACCAATTTCTGTTGCCTCTGCAAAAATTTCACGTACAAAATTGAGACCAATAAAAATGATTTTGATGACAAATATCAAACAAGAAGCCCCGAGTAACAATTATAAAATGTGGAAGGAGGTTGGCATAGGGGTTTGTGGTGGTGGTGACATTATTTTGCAGGAGGGAGAAGAGAAAGGGTAACTACTCTTGATTGTGAATACTTGTTTCTTTTTTTTTTTTTAAGATTTTATTTATTTATTCATGAAAGACACAGAGAGAGGCAGAGACATAGGCAGAGGGAGAAGCAGGCTCTACACAGGGAACCTGATGTGGGACTTGATCCCTGGACTCCAGGATCAGGCCCTGAACCAAAGGCAGATGCTTTAGCTGCTGAGCTACCCAGGCATCCTTGAATACTTGTTTCTAAGTCAAGACAAGCAACTGATGGTATTTTGTTATATATTTGGGGAAAAAAAAGAGTGTAATTATATTAAATAAAAACAGCATGATTAAGTTAGATCAGAAAGAAAAGAATCACTGTTTTGGAGACTTAACTTCTTTGATGAGGTGGTTGTGACTTTCCATTTGACCCATGATCTTAGTAAGTGATACAGAGAGTGATACAGTGTGGCATGGGAAACAGATTCTCCACTGTGTTTGAAATTTAATTTGTAATAGCCATGTGTTTATTTTACTCAAAACATAACTCATTACAAGGAAGAATTGCTTTAGTGCTCTAAGTGGATTTGGATAATCTTTTATTCTGCTTGAATTACTTGGAACCAGATGAGTTCAGCCGCACGAGTTAAGGCACTAGTAGGTTAGTCCTCACAAGTTTTTTTTTTTTAGTCCTCACAAGTTTAATGGTGGAGACTAATATCCACCTTATATGACAAACATAATTTACCATTTTGTGAATACACACGGTTTTCTACAAAACAGAGTCTAACAAATGTAATTTAAATAGCCAACATTAAGGACGTCAAGGTTATAAACCAACAATTCTGGAACATTCAAACAAACCTATATTATTTTATTTTATTTTTTTAAAGTTTACCCGTTCAAACAGATGCCCTTTTGATAGTTTTTTTTAAGTGTTTTTTTTTAAGATTTTTAAAATTTATTTTTCATAGAGACACAGAGAGAGAGAGAGAGAGAGAGAGAGGTAGAGACATAGGCAGAGGGAGAAACAGGCTCCATGCAGGGAGCCCGATGTGGGACTTGATCTCGGGTCTCCAGGATCAGGCCCTGGGCTGAAGGCAGGCGCTAAACCACTGAGCCACCCAGGGATCCCCAAACCTTTATTTTTTAAACAATTTTTTAAAAGATTTTATTTATTTATGTGAGACAGGGAGAGAGGCACACATAGGCAGAGGGAAAAGGAGGTTCCCTGTGGGAATTCCGACTGGGGCTGGGAGACTTGATCCCCAGGATGCTGGGATCATGCCCTGAGCTGAAGGCAGATGCTCAACCACTGAGCCACCCAGGTGTCCCAAAACAAACCCTTGAATATTGCAGAAAAGCTCTTTGTTTCTCTTAAGTAAATAGACTCAAACAGACATTCAACTTTATGATGACAAGATACAGAATAAGCATAAACCTGATTTAAATGTTACAGTAGTTAGCATGTAAATACATGCTTTTTCTATTTTAGTCTAAAAAATTAGTAGTTCTCAAAGGGTGGTCTGGAGACCCCTGCGCATTCAGGTCTTTTTCAGGGACCCATAGGGTCAAAGCTATTTTCATAATGATGCTCAGATATTACTTACCTTTTTTACTCTCAGGGGAGTACAATGGAGCTTTCCAAAAGCAATATGACATGCAATTGCATCATTCTTCCGACCATTAGATGGAATGTGGACTTATATTCTTGAGCTTTAAATTTTTTCTCCATTTAATTTTTTAAAATTTTATTTATTTATTCATGAGAGACAGAGAGAGAGGCAGAGACATAGGCAGAGGGGGAAGCAGCCTCCCCCATGGGGAGCCCGATGCGAGACTTGATCCTAGGACCGTGGGATCACAACCTGAGCCAAAGGCAGATGTTCAACCACTGAGCCACCCAGGTGCCCCTCCATTTAAATTTCTAATGTGATAAATATTGAAAGATATAACAATGAACAAAACGTGATAGGGTCTTTAATAATTCTCAAGAATATAATGGATCTTGAGACCAAAAACCTTGAGAACCATTTGTTTTTTTTTTGAGAACCATTTGTTTGAACAAGTGGTAGGTAATTATTGACACAGTGCTGTGTATTCCCAAAAGCTTATTAGAATTTTTTCCCATGGTTTTCTCTCTTTTTTTTCCCCATGTTTTTCTCATTAATCTCTAAGGTCTTTGATTTCAACTTTAATTTTAATCAAGGATAAATAAGAGATATTGGGGCTTATTATTATTATTTTCACAAGTAGAAAGCATGTGGGTATAGAGAAGGGTGCTGACATTTTTTTGAGTTTTTTTTTCTAAATACTTTTACTTTTTTAGAAAGTATTTTGTTCCTGAGTGTATATCAATTGAGAGATAGATAGAGGTAAAAATTGGTTTTGTTCCTGGAAAACTATCTTTTTGGGAGAAATTGACTTAAAAGCAGTGAAAGTTGGGGTGCCTGGGTGGCTCAGCGGTTGAGCATCTGCCTTTGACCCAGGGTGTGATCCTGGGATCCAGGATCGAGTCCCACATGATTCTCCTTGCAGGGAGCCTGCTTCTCCTTCGGCCTGTGTCTCTGCCTCTCTCTCTCTCTCTCTCTCTCTCTCATAAATAAATAAATAAATAAATAAATAAAATCTTTAAAAAAAATAAAATTTGATGAACATATTACTCCTGTAAACCATTGACGAATATGTATTGATTTGAATGATAAACATCATTAACTGTAAAATAATATCCTCTTTCTATAAGATGGCCCATTTCTCTTCATCTACGCTTAGTTTTTAGGTGATCCCAACGAAACAGATTGCTGGTCTTCAATCTTACAGGGCTTGAAGAATCTCATCTCTATTTTGATAACTTCCACAATGCTATTTCTGGCCCTGACCTTTCTTCTGAGAAGTTTTATATATCCCTCAGACTGCAGGTATCAGACTACCACCTCTACTTGATGTTAACCCATTGCCTAAAAAGAATTCCTACCCTTTAACCCTAAACATAAATACTCACCCCTGCCTTTTCATTTTGGAAAATGGTCAAAAATCTAGGAGTAACTCTGGTTCTCTTCTTTGTCTCACGTCCTACATCCGATTGGTCGGCAAATCCTGTCTACTGCTCCCTCAAAAATCAGTCTCTGAATCTGACCACAGCTGCCACCCTGCTTCAATCCATACTCATCTCTTTCCTAAAGGATAGCATGGGCCTGCCGTTTGCCCTCCAGCCGCCATTCTTGATGCCTCTCAAATTTCTTTCTTTACATGACCTCCTGAGTGATATTTATAAAACCTACATTAGATACGTCATTCATTAGTCAAAACTGGCCTATGGTCTCATACCACACTTAGGTAAAATCCACACGCCTTATCCTGTGCTTAAAGGCTCTCCATGAACAAGTCCCTGCTTACCTTTTCACCCTTATCTCTCCATTCTCCCTGGACTCATTTCATTTAACCACCTTGGCTTTCTTTCTGTTCCTGGGACACAGCACTCCTGTTCCCACATTAGGGACTTGGCACATGCTGTTCCCCTGTCTGGAACTCTACTTCCCTCACTTTATTCAGATCTTGTTCAAAAACCAATTAATCAGAAATCACCCTATATAGGGACGCCTGGGTGGTTCAGTGGTTGAGCGTCTGCCTTTGGCTCAGGGAGTGATCCTAGGGTCCTGGGACTGAGACCCTCATTGGACTCCCCACAGGGAGCCTGCTTCTCCCTCTGTCTATGTCTCTGTCTCTCTCCCACTGTGTCTCTCATGAATAAATAAATAAAATCTTTTAAAAAAATCACCCTATGTAAATAGAACTTCCCAATATCTTGCAACACCACACCTGGTGTCCTTTTCTTCAATAATATTTGTTACTCCCTAATTTAGCTCCTTGATGGTATTGGTTTCTTTTCTTTTTTCTTTTCAAAAAACATTTTAAAAAAATATTTTATTTATTCATGAGAGACACAGAGAGAGAAGCAGAGACATAGAGGGAGAAGCAGGCCCCTTGCAGGGAGCCCGATGAGGGATTCCATCCCCAGACTGGGAATCATGCCCTGAGCCAAAGGCAGATGGCCAACCACTGAGCCATGCAGGGATCCCAGTATTGGTTTCTCCGTCGCTGTTTCCATTCCATTCCTAGAATGGTGTTTGGGGTTGATAAAGCACTTAGAAAATACCCATCTGATTGAATATATATTAAGACATAGAATGTATTTTTCCTGAAGTCATGGTAAATCTTACCTTATTCTTCTCGAAACCAGTAGGTGTGCCCTTGGGCGATGGCTCCCAAACTTAGAGTTTCTCATGGCATGTGTGTTGCTGTCCAGGTTCTTCAGGAATGGAGGAGGATAATAAGAAGGTACATTTGGCTGGGTATATACAGTAAGGATTAGAAAGTACTTTACTCTTTTCCTTTTTTTTTTTTTTAAATTTTTATTTATTTATTTATTTATGATAGTCACAGAGAGAGAGAGAGAGAGGCAGAGACACAGGCAGAGGGAGAAGCAGGCTCCATGCACCGGGAGCCCGACGTGGGATTCGATCCCGGGTCTCCAGGATCGCGCCCCGGACCAAAGGCAGGCGCCAAACCGCTGCGCCACCCAGGGATCCCTACTCTTTTCCTTTGTACATACCTATGTTAGAGGAAGAAACACAATTCTTTCAGCAAATTTTAATGAGTATCTGCTTTCTGCCAGGCACTGTTTGGGCTTGGCAATACAGTGATAGAGTGGATCCACTTGATAGATAGAGATAGGTAGTTATAAGGTAAGAGCTTTGGAGAAACATAAAGCAGCAGGATGGGAGTGAATAGAAGTTCTGGTTAGAGAATGCCCTGTTGCTCATAGAGCTATGTGGTTAACATTAGGGCATGTGGGCCAATGCAGAACTCCTGGCTTCTTTTTTTCCCCCATTATTTTTATTTGTTTTATTATTATTATTTTGATCATGATAAGTATACTCTTTAATCTCCATCACCTATTTGACGCATCCCCCCACCACCTCCCCTCTGGTAACCATATACTAGGACTCTATAGTTTAGAATCTGTTTCTCGGTTTGTGTCTCTCTCAGAACTCCTGGCTTCTTGAGATAGTCAACTAACAGGAATAAGGAAGAGAATGAGATTAGTCCCAAATGGTGGTGAGACGACTAGTGTTAAAGATGAAAAAGGTTGGGGACTTTGCTAAGAGCACTTGGAGTTCTGGGAACTCGTCTTTGCTTCAATCAATAGTAATATGAAGACCAGGGAATGAGTTTTCTTAGCCAGAGGTCTTTAAGCTCTTTTTTCAATCTTTCACCTGGAGATGTCGAGGCCAAAAGAGGAGCAGTGTTACTTACTTAAAAATATTAGCCTTAAAAGCTGAAGATGCGGGTGTCATTGTTCAGCATGTTATAACAAATCACAACAGATGGGATGCATAAACAAACTTTCTCATAGTTCTGGATGCTGGAAGTCTGAGATTGGGGTGCTGACATGTTTGGGTTCTTGATGAATGCCCTCTGCCTGGTTTAGAGAGGACTGTTTTCTTGCTGTGTCATCACATGGTAGAAAGAGCTAGCTAGCTCTCTGGCCTCTTCTTTTCCTCTTTCTTTCTTTCTTTTTTTTTTTTTTTAAGATTTTATTTATCCATGAGAGACACAGAGAGAGAGGCAGAGAGCTAGGCAGAGGGAGAAGGGGACTTGTTCCCAGGACCCCGGGATCACGACCCAAGCTGAAGTCAGATACTCAAACATTGAGCCACCCAGGCATCCCTCTCTGGCCTCTTCTTCTAAGGGTATTAATCCCACTTATGAGGACTCCACCCTCATGACTTACCACCCAAAGGCCCCCAGCTCTTGACATGGACACACTGTGATTAGGGTTTTAACATAGGAATTTGGGGAGGTGGGGGAAACACATTCACTCCGTTGCACCTGGGTTCACATTCTGCTTCTGCCATTGACTAGGGTCATACGCTTAGTCATTTAGTGGTTTTTTTTTTTTAAGATTTTATTTATTTATTCATTCATGAGAGACACAGAGAGAGGCAGAGACACAGGCAGAGGGAGAAGCAGGCTCCATGCAGGGAGCCTGATGTGGGACTTGATCCCGGGACTCCAGGATCATGCCCTAGGCCAAAGGCAGGCTCTAAACTGCTGAGCCACCCAGGGATCCCCTCATTTAGTGTTTCTAAGCCTTATGTTCTATATCTGTGAAGCAGTACTCATCCTCCTTGCCCTCAGGGTTATTCCAGAACTACACATAATTATATAACAACTATTTACTTTTTATTTTTCAGATAATGCCATATTTGGATAAAGTGCATCTCCAGAGACACAAAGAAATACAATCTCTTTGATCCTTCTTCAATGTCTGTCTTATTGACAAATATTAATTATGAAAGAAGTAAAAGAATTATTCACTAGATCACCAAGAAAACATTTTATTGTCATATAAAATAGATCTTTCTTTATTCATTCCATCCCATTATTTAGACTTAGATGTCTTGGAAAGGTTTTGAGTGATTAAAGATAGTTTCAAGGATGAATGACCAAAAAGTTCACTTTTATAGTGATGATCTTTTTTTTTTTTTTAAAGATTTTATTTATTAGAGAGAGAGAGCATGAGCAGGGGGAGGTATAAAAGGAGAAGCAAACTCCCTGCTGAACAGGAAGCCCAATGATGTGGGACTGGATCCCAGAATCATGACTTGAGCCAAAAGCAAACCCTTAACTGACTGAGATACCCAGGCACCCTCATCTTCTCTTTTATAACCTAAAATATTTTTTTGTGGGGGGGCAGCCCTGGTGGCTCAGCAGTTTGGCGGCGCTGCCTTCAGCCCATGGCCTGATCCTGGAGACGCAGGATCGAGTCCCACGTCAGGCTCCCTGCATGGAGCCTGCTTCTCCCTCTGCCTGTGTCTCTGCCTCCCTCCCTCCCTCCCTCCCTCCCCCCCCCCTCTGTCTCTCTGTCTCTCACGAATAAATAAATAAAATCTTTAAAAAAATAAAATATTTTTTGAAGTTTATTTATTTATTTAAGTAATCTCTACATCCAACATGAGGCTCACACCCACAAATCTGAGACCAAGAATCACATGCTCTTCCGACTGAGCCAGCCAGCCACCCCTAACCTAGAATGTTTATTTATTTTTTTAAATATTTTTTAAAATTTTTTTATTTATTTATGATAGTCAGAGAGAGAGAGAGAGAGAGAGAGAGAGAGAGAGAGAGAGAGAGAGGCAGAGACATAGGCAGAGGGAGAAGCAGGCTCCATGCACCGGGAGCCCGACGTGGGATTCGATCCCGAGTCTCCAGGATCGCGCCCTGGGCCAAAGGCAGGCGCCAAACCGCTGCGCCACCCAGGGATCCCAGAATGTTTATTTTTTAAATTTATTATTATTATTTTTTAACGTAGAATGTTTAAACAGTTTGTTTCTGGAATTTGTAGCATGTGTCGACCAATCCTACTAACCAAGTCAGAGGCTAAAGTTTCTCATAGTTAACACTTCTATTGCCTAATTGTATTAACTTACTCTGTTAAAGCTACGATTCTGATAATTTGAAGTACATACTTGAGAAGGTAATACAAGGTGCCTATACTTTTGATCTATTTCACTGCCCATCCCCAAAGAGGGCATTGCTAGAACCCTCTAGTGGCCAAACCCTAATTTGGCTACCATCACCTCTGCGTCATTGTTTCCTGGATAGCTATTTTCCAATTTAACTAATGTAGGTAGTCTGAGGTCATAACCGATTTCATTTGGTAATCCAAGCACTGCCTGGTTTCTTGGCATTTGTTTTTATTTTTTTTAGATTTTTAAAGATTTTATTTATTTATTCATGAGAGACACACAGAGAGGGGCAGAGACACAGACAGAGGGAGAAGCAGGCTCCACGCAGGTAGCCCGATGTGGGACTGGACTCTGGGACCAGGATCATGGCCTAAGCCCAAGGCAGATAGATGCTCAACTGCTGAGCCACCCAGGCTCCAAGCATTTGTCTTTATTTTTTTATTTTTTTATTTTATTTTTTTATTTTTTTTTAATTTATGATAGTCACAGAGAGAGAGAGGCAGAGACACAGGCAGAGGGAGAAGCAGGCTCCATGCACCGGGAGCCCGACGTGGGATTCGATCCTGGGTCTCCAGGATCGCGCCCTGGGACCCGGGGATCCCAGCATTTGTCTTTATATCAGTAAAATATTCACCTTGTATTTAGTTGCCCATTGTCTCCGCAGAAAGCTCAGATTCATGAGCCAATGCATTTTCGTATCAGAAAGGATTATGGATCATTCAACTGGTCTAAAATCCTACCTTAGCTAGGGCTATACAAGTGCAGTAAGATTCATTAACTCTGAAGGTATGTTAAAAAAAAAAAAAAGCCAGACCCAAACTAATTTTTTGCTTCTCAAAAAGGCAAGCTTCATGAGCATTGACAGAAGGCAAAAGACTCTTGGTTCTAAGGCCAAGGACTTTATTACTCAAAGCACAGCAAGTAGCACAAGCCCCGTGTTTAGGGGGGTCCCCCTTGCCCTCTCCCCACCCCCCATGGCAATACGGAACAGTCCAGATAGATGCCACACCCACAGAGGTTTTGCCTGACACCGGAGGACCCCTGAGCTTAAGAAACCCAACCTTTATTACACTGGGTGATAAATAAACCTGCTCTCTGTTCCAGTGAGAGTATTATTTCTGTCATCCAAGGTCCTTGGCTACAATGACCCTTGAAGAGATAGTCTGGAACAAAACCTGTCTGTGCCTCTGCTCCCAAGACATGCAGAAACAGGAGTTCTGTGGAGAATTCTCTCCCAACACGGAGCAGCCCAAATGAAGACGTATTAGATACATCATTCCTTGGGTTCAATCTAGGATGACTCCTGGGGAATCAACACATAGTGAATGAGTGTCGGGTGATATACTATATAATTAACCACCCTTCTAGCCTAGCCTCATTTCTCTGTAATCCCCTCCTACCTTCCAGGTTTTAAGGAACTATTGGTGGTTCTTCGCCTTGTTCTGCTATCCTCCCTTCACTTGGCTTGCTTTTATTATATTAATTAATTAATTAATTAATTTGTTTTTTTTTGGCTTGCTTTAGTTTAAATGCCACCTTCTCCTGGAAGCCTTCCCTTCCCCAGCCCCTTTCCCTAGTTGGTGTTTCCACATCCTCCTTCACTATACACCCTACAACAGGCGGGGATAAAACCAGAAACTCAAATGTCACACAACCATATATATTTTGGACTCTGACTCTACCTGGAATTGTAAGTCCAGCCACCTCCTCTACCCCCTCCCAGGAATGTTTCATATCTGTTGACGCACCTGTTCCCTCATAAACATGTAGGGACCAGCATTTTCCTCCTCCTCTGCTCTGGCTCCCTGTACGGCTGTCTGCAGGTGAGTTTCCGAGTCAAGGCCACTACTGCTTATGCAGGAAGGCCTCCCATGGCACTCCTGGTACTCCAGAATGAAGATTTCAGCGTGGTCACCACTGCTACTGAAGCTACCGTAGGGGTTCAGAATGTAGGGGTCCTAAGATGTGCCACTTTGGCCTGTAGAGTAAGGTTACTCTGAGTTGAAAACCATCAAGGCCTAAAAGACTCAGGAAGAAATCCTGACCTTCCCCCTAACTGCCTGAAAGAATTTAGATAGAGGATCTGCTCCAGGAAGAGAACTATCACCATCGATAACTACAGTGTAATATGAACTAGGTGTGAGATAGGGAGGAACCAGAGCTAAGCTTGTCACTATTCCTCCCTGTGTCCCACTATTCCTCTCAGTGTCCCATCTTCCTGTGAATGGCTTTCCTTCTCAGGTGACTCAATTCCTCTGATTTTCCATTTCAAGAAATGATTTCAAGGTGATATATATCCAATAAGGATGAATGGAGGCATCGCCTTTTTATTTTATTTTTATTAAGAAAAAATTTTAAAAATATTTATTCATGAGAGACACACACACACACAGAGAGAGAGAGAGAGAGAGAGAGAGAGAGAGAGAGAGAGAGAGAGGCAGAGAAGAGGCAGAGGGAGAAGCAAGCTCCATGCAGGGAGCCCGATGCGGGACTCAATCCTGGGACTGTTGGATCATGCCCTGAGCTGAAGGTGGACACTCAACGGCTGAGCCACCCAGGCGTCCCTATTTCTAAAAAATTTTTTAAAAGATTTTATTTATTCATGGGAGACACACAGAGAGAGGCAGAGACATAGGCAGAAGGAGAAGCAGGCTCAGGCTCCCCACAGGGAGCCCAACATAGGACTGGATCCCAGGACCCTGGGGATCACGCTCTAAGCCAAAGGCAGGTGCTAAACCACTGAGCCACCCAGGCATCCCGAGTCATCTCCTTTTTATTTTATTTATTTTTTAAGATTTTATTTATTTACTCATGAGAGACAGAGACAGAGACAGAGAGAGAGGCAGAGACACAGGCAACAGGCAGAGGGAGAAGCAGGCTCCATGCAGGGAGCCCGACGTGGGACCCGATCCCAGGTCTCCAGGATCATGTCCTGGACTGAAGGCAGGCACTAAACCACTGAGCCACACAGGGATCCCCAGCATCTCCTTTTTATTCATTCATTTATTTATTTATTTATTTATTTATTTATTTATTTATTATTTATTTATTTATTTATTTATTTATTTATTTAATTTTCTAAAAAATTTTTATTTATGATAGTCACACAGAGAGAGAGAGAGAGGCAGAGACACAGGCAGAGGGAAAAGCAGGCTCCATGCACCGAGAGCCCGACGTGGGATTCGATCCTGGGTCTCCAGGATTGCGCCCTGGGCCAAAGGCAGGCGCTAAACCGCTGTGCCACCCAGGGATCCCTGGCATCTCCTTTTTAAATGTGATCTTTCCCATTAAGGAAACAGAGCATCACCTCTGTCACCCTGTGGTCACACAGGTCATTCAAAGTGAATCCCTCTTGCCTGTGGGCCATCACATCAGCTCCTCTCTGCCTGGGAAGTTCTTTCCCCATTCTTCTCACATCTGGCCCCTTCTCACCTTCTAGCAACTCACCTAGCAGGTCACATCCTCAGAGGCCTTCACTGACTATCGTATCTAAAATAGAAAACTCTTGTGCAACTACTCATTACTAAGCAGGCAAAAGTAAAAGTCACAGGATATGCCCTGTATGTTCAGTGAAGTCCTTGCCCTTGCCTTGCTACTCACGGACCAGCAGCATAGCAATATCTGGGAGTTTTTTTTTTTTTTTTAAATATGTGATCTTAAGTATAGGGGAGGAAAACGTTTCTTCCTTTGTAGGTTCTTTAGCTGGTTAATAACTAAATTGATGTAAGAGATTAACAGGAGAGAG